TATATAATTACACAATTTACATTATGGATTTATATTACACATCAATAAAAATTCTCATAGAGATCTATTCAAAACAAATATTAAAAACTGTATTTGTATTTACATCCTAACCAAACTTCACCACTCCATTTCAGAAAAACCATTTTACAACTTCTAAGAAATGATCTGCTTCCTTGAGGATAAAATGCTAGCACATTCTAAACCACTTAAGATTAAACTTCAAGGGAGATTATTTTTGGTTTTAGAAAGTGGAGCCTGGTAGTTGACATGATAATACCAGATATTTACCAACCACTATATGCCAGGCACTGTGCTAAGTCTGCATTATCTCACTTAATGCTCAAAACTATTACTCTCCCGGATAAGAAAACTGATGCCCATCTAAGGTCACTCAAATGTGGAGCAAGGAGTGGAACTCACATCTATTTAACTCTAAAGCTCATACTCAGCACAATGATGCAAGCTTACTAATCAAAGCTTGATTTCAAAGTTTAGGGTCCAACAAACTGACTAGCCATGTCACCTAACTTGTGAGCCTCAGTTTACTCACCTATAAGAAGAGGGTAACAACAGCAACTTCACAGGGCTAGTTCCTTTAAGGACTAAAATGAGATCCTGACCACAGCAAGCATTTGTTCCTGCTGGGAACCACTATCCCTATTCCTACATTTGATTGGTGCTCTAGTTAGACAAATGTCATTAATTTACATGCTTCCTCCTCTCTTTTGGATTCTAGGAAAAATCATTTTTTACAACCAAAGTGCTTACCTTAGTGTTTTTGAATAAATGTCTCCACAATGCTAATCTTTATAATTTTCCCTCCAGTTTATTCTTTCCCAAGAAGGCATTCAATGGTGAAGACTAAATAATATCGTATAAATCACTTAAAACAGTGCCCGGAAAGTACCAAGTACTCAGTTAAGTACTGGCCCTGTCACTTATTTCTGATGATGACCACCAACAGAATTTGGAATTAACTGCAGAAATCTCTTGTGAGCAATAAATTCACTGCCCCCTAACCATTGGGCCTCTGAGAACTAAGCACAAAGATCAGCATCAAGGATTTGTCTACTTACCTGTCCCAATGACTAACTCAGATAAGGACTTTTGAGAGAAAATATGTACTGCTGATTTAGAAAGACTGGGGCTATTGGACACAGTACAGTTGCACAAATGTGGTTTAGGTATAAGACCAAACACTACACCATACATATCTGAAATCCATTTTCAGGAAAAGGATCAACTTTGTAAGTGGAACCTGTGGGGGAAAACTGGTAAACATCTACTGACCTAGATGGCTGCATGGATATGAACTTGCCTGAAAGCTGTACAATGCACTGACATGGTAAGGTACTTTTCTAAGTGTTTCTTAGGACCTTTCATTTATTAACAAGGAAGTTGCACAAACACACAGTATAAATCTAGCCAGATTTACAATATAAAGATACACAACATACAGTTAAATTTGAATTTCAGATAAAAAAAATGATCTTTTAGTATAAAGCCCAAGCAACGCATGCTAAAAAGAATTTGTTTCCTATGTGAAATCCAAATTTAACGGGGCGTCCTGTGTTTTAGCTGGCAATCCTACCCCCTACACCTACCTCAACTTTGGCTGAAGATAAAGTGCCTCCCAAATCCTCCCTAATCTCAATTTCTCTGTTAAGAACACAAAGAAAGGTTTCAGGGGACAACAAGTTCCCCCAAGGGGAAAATACCCAATAGGAAATCCATGAAATTAATTTTCATTTTTAAAAAGTGATGCTGTAAACGGGTCGAGTAGCTAGGCAACAAGACTTAAAAAGGAAAAAAAAAAGAAAAAAAAAGAACCTGATTAGGAAAACCGCGGGGTCTGGACTAGGAGATGAACTTCCCAGCTTAGAGTTTTGACAAAGAAACATCGCTGGGGGTGGGGGGGACGGCACTTCTCATTCTGAATTAATGGCCTCGCGAGGCTGAGAGGAGGAGCGCCGGCAAAGCGCCTCCTCCTCCAGCAGCGACTTCAGGGCTCTCGGATAATAGACCCCACACCCTCAGGCCCAGGGCGGGTAAAAGGCCGGGGAACTTACTGACAGAACTCGGATTCGAAGACGAGTCGCATAAAGAAACGGAGCGGGAAAGGCAACGGGAGCCAGTCAAACAAGAAAGCAAAGCGAGCTTAGAGCGATGGGCCCCTGCGGGTGGGCTGAGGACGCCGTGTGGCGGCGGGGACAAGGCCTCAAGGGGCCTTGGAACGAACGGCCAACCTCCCTCCAAACCTAGCCTCGCCCTAGCTTCTTGTCGCAGGAAATCCTACTCCCCACCCAAAGAAGAACTAAGTCGTCCCAAAACTCACCCTCTACCGACTGTTCTCTCCTCAGAGTAACGGCGACGCTACACGGCCTCTACCGTCCCGAGAAAAGAGCGCGCGACCGCCGGAAACGAGACGACGGAGCTCGGTGCCTCCCAAGGGGTACAAAATGGTGTTCTTCATTGGTTACCTGAGTTGCCAATCAAGGTTTATCTCCAAAGGCGGAATCGGTTTTCCGCCATTTCTTCAACCGTATTGGCTACTGAATGCGAAAGGTTTGAGTTCGTGTGAACGACAGATGGGGACAAAGAGCGGGGCTGTCCACTTAATTCGCATGCGCAAACTGCCGCCTGCTCCAGACGGAAAAGGAAGGGGGAGGGGGAATAGGTAGGGAGGGGGATGGAGGGTCGGAAGGAGAGACATAAGCGGTCTGACGGAAAGACTGAAAGACCCAGTGATGGGAGCGGCAAAGGAAAGCGGAAAAAAGGGAGAGAGAGGAAAGTGGAAAGAGAAGGGGAGAAAACATGCGTGTAGGCGTGCTCTGAGAAATCTTGCACTGCGCCTGTGCAAAAAGCGGGAGTAACAATGTCATTGTATTCAGCGTGGTAGATCTAGCCTTTTCCTTCTGAAAAAATGCCCCGCCATGTTTCTTTTTTCACACTTCCTCATTAGGGCTTGCACTCTGACACTCCATACTTAATCAGGTTTCTAGTTGCTTCTGCTGCCAGGTCTACTCGTGAAGCCCAACTGAAACAGTCATCACTATGGTTATGGTTATGATTATGGTTATGGTTCTTGAAAGGGATGGGGGAGAGGACGGGGGGGGGG